GCACAGGCTATTCCTTTGTAAACTTGGCTCAGATGTATTCTTCTAGCCATCCTAAGAGTCCTATGGGGCTTGAACATTTTATAGCAATTTCTGTTCTGAAGGTGCTAGTACCCTGGTGCCCCCAGTCCTAGACATTCTCATGGTTTGAGGCAAGTACCCAGAATTTAAAGTCAGAAGACCTAGGTTTGAGTTCTAGCTGGGCCACTCACTGTTAGTGTGATCTTGGACAAATCACTGACCTTCTGTGAATGGCATCCTTTAAATGGCATCCTTTAAACCCCTACATCACAGGATTGTTTACAAGAATGTACATACACACTCAGGCATTTTGTCAACAATAAGGCTTTTTAGGAACCATATTGTCATTCTTGGGGAAAGCCCCAATTTGAACATTATCAAAGAATGAATCTATGGATGAAACCATCTTTCTTTTTTTCTTCACTCAGTATAGCCTGTTTGGTCAGAAACAGAAACAGGGTTTTGATATCAAGTTTTCAGATTTTGGCTTCTTTGGTCAAAGAGAGAGAATGCCCATGTGCAACTGCTCCGTCCATAGATTCATGGGCAGAATGGCAGTGAACAAAGGAAAATTTTAAGCCAGCATATTTCAGAGTTAGGGGACAAAGAGGAGAATGCTTATCTTGTATGTTCAAATCAGGGGAAGCTAAAATATTTTAGGTAAATGAGGAAACTCTACTAAGATGCTCAGAGATAATTTAGGCCATGAATGAGAAGTAGGGGAATGAGCTTATAAATTATTTCTCTCCTTTATCTTTTACCTTCTAGTTAGGATTTGGTGTATTACGCACATCCCAGTGGCTGCTGCCTGAAACCTGTCAATCACCCAAAGAAAAAACAGTTTCTGGGAAAGCGTTCAATGCAACTGTGACACGTTTACCCTAGTGAAGTCACTGCTTGGTCTCTTTCACTTCCTCTCTCTTATGAACATCATCCCTAAAATCCAAAACCATTCTGTTTTCTAACCCAATAAGAGTTTAAAACCAGTCATAAGCAGCAGGCCATGCAATTCTACATACCTCATGCAGTCACAGGAAACTACCCCACGAGAGCACGAGGATGTGTATCTTACTGTCTCCAGCACGAATCAGCCTTAAGCTGTACTGCTTCAGCCACTCTGCTTAGGTGGCAGTTCTGCACCCTTGGTGTCTTCTCTCCACAGCCATTCGACCTCATTCCCCCGCTACCTCCTGGAGGAGTACTAGTTCCCATGCAGTTGCCTGCATATTGATAATGCAGCTTTGTAACTTGGTTACAGCTGTACCCTGTTCTTAATACACTTTTTGAAGGATTTGTTGAAAATCTAGTTGCTTTTGTGGGGATTGGATGAAGGGACATGACTACAACTTCCATGCAGAGAGAAGCTACGTGTGCATCCATATGTGTGCACCTCCTGTATGCCCATGTCTGTGTGCTTTTTGCATGTGTATCTTCGTGGTTGTGCTTGGGCTGACACAGCAGAGTAAAAAGAAAGCATCTCTTTCTTATTTTACCACATTGCTTCAAAGATGCCCAACCCCCGTAGTAGTAGGCAGTTCCCAAGTGGAGGGTGGGGGCAGAGGCCTCCACTAAGGCCATCAATAACCAGGTGTGAGCTACAGGTCTCTGTGTAATGTGAAGCTCTCCCGTATTTCATTTCTGCACCCAGGGGGCGGCTCTGCAGGATTGCTTACGGAGAGCTCTGTGTCTGGCACCTCTCTCCACTAGGCCCAGGCGCCCAGGGTCCCACCGACCTGCCCAGGAATGCATCGCATTGTTCTCTGGTGCTGTAATTTGGCTGCAGGAGTTAGGCTGAATGCCTCCCCAGGATGAGAAACATACTCTCCCTAGTGTACTCCCTTCTCCCCAGCTAGCTTGGGCTTCTGCCCTATGACCACTGAGAGCATTTAAATAAAAAACTCAGAAAAGGCTAAGGAAAAAAATAATCCTGATTATCTGTCTTTTATTAAGCCATGTAGACTCTCATGTCCTGAGTGGGTCTGAGAATTTGGCAAAGGACTTAGTGGTTGGTGTTCTTGATAAGGGATGTGAAAGAAAAAAATATTCTCTGCAACAGGGAGGAGTTGAAACAAGGCAGTGTGTATTCATGAGTTAGATCGACAAAACTTTAGGAATAGACCCTCAGGGCGATGTTGGATTCTTTTAATTAATCTGAAGTCCCTGATTTCATTTTACTAACATTCCTGTAAGAAAGAGTGTGGATTAGTGCCATTATTCAGGCTAATAACAATAAAAGTTGGCTCTTAACTTCAAGGCTAGGTAGGTTAAGACTGGCATTCTTATTTTACTTGTTACAGACTGTGCAGCTGAGGTACTTTAGTAACGTGCCTTCTCTAAAAAGATACTCAAAGGATAGAGATAGTATTTTTAAAATTTGTGTCCAAATAGCACTTACTGCAATGCATTATACCTAAATATTTACCAAAAGTTAAAGAAAATGAGAACCAACAAGGAGAAGTGGAAGACATGAGAAAAGCTAGGATGCTGCAGATGGTACAGACTGCTGTCAAATATGGGAGGGATGGGAGAGGGGTTGCTTAGAGGCAGAGTGGAGGAGTAACAGAAATGGAGCCTTGACCACACCAAATAAAGTTCTCATTTCATTGCTTGTTCCAAATAAATTAGTTTGTTTGTATAGTGCAGAACGAATGCCAATTGTCTAAAGCTAATTGGAATGCAGAAGCAAATTAAGGACTAAGAGGAAAAATTTAATTGCTTAGCCATACAGCTTCTGTATTGGGGCTGAAATAGATATCTTTTCTTTTGCTTATCCTTCTCACTCTCTGGACAGCTTGTTCTCTTAACCAACTATAGGAAGTTGCAAAATCTGCATCTTTGTAAGCTAGAATTTGGAGCTCAGAGAAAAAAGCATAGAGTAATATGAGATGCCAGAAGAGGTCTACTCACTTCCTTTAACAGGGTAAGAACCAAAAATCAAAGAATCAATAATAGGGCACAGGTAGTTTTTAACTCAGGTTGACTTCTCTTGAAAGGCCTATGCCATCTTTAATGTGGTATCTGGATGTTCTTGAAAGATCAGGGCTGGCTGGGACCTGAGGCTCTTCTCAGCAGTCTGGTATACATGGCAGTATTAGTGAATCCATTCAACACTGTTCCTGAGTTTAGACTGGCCATGGCCCCCTTTACCTTCTTAGTATTCCAAAACTTTCTTCCTCTTAATCCCAGCCTAAGATGTCAGAAACTTTTCTCCCCACCCCCTATCTAATCCCAATACTGGTTCACCAGTTATCCAGTTGACTCCATTCTGCAAGGAAGACATTCCCTTGGCCTGACTCACTCAGTCCCATTTCTCCACAGACATCCTTTTACCGCAGACCACAACGACCCTGACTAGCTCATGTTTTGTGTTAATGGATTTGAAATTGGAGCAAATCTCCTCACCAAAGAAAAACCACCCTAAACTCTCCCACACAGGTCTCAGCAGGTTACATAAATATTAGTCCTATCATTCAAATAAATCTGCCCCCCAAGGTCCAGAACTGTGGCTCTCCCAACTTCCTGCTGCCTCTACAGAGTGATGTTGCTCCACAAACATATGAGGACCCTAAGGGATGTGGGAAAGGAACTTGGGAAAGGAAAGGGGGCCTATATCCAGATTATTTTATAAGCCCCTTAGTCTATAGCCTATTGTCAAGACCATACATTCCTAAATTAGAAGTCCCTAGAGAAGTTATGATGAGTTTGACCCGTCTGGGGCTTTGGTGAAGAGTATCTCAATAATCAGTCAGGTACATACCCTAATTTTACAAAAATAAATTTTACAAAAGTAGAAGCTCAGAGAATTTAGGGATCTTACTGAAAATACAAAAACCAATAAGTGACACAACTGTGATTTTAACCCAATTCTTCACTGAAAGTTCCTATACCACTCTGCTAGTTTAAAATACCAACAGGCAAGAGATAACCACTAAGTCACATAAAATTAGGTTTTGGGGACTCTGTCCATTATTAAACCTGCTATCTCTCGAGACTTCACTACTACAAACCTAAGTTAGGCAACAGGTAGTAGCATGGAAGGAATCCTCCCCTATTTAAGCCAAATGTGGAGTGAATATTAATCATCACTAGGACTTGGAGAATCACTAAATAAAGATTTGTTGAGTAAATGGGGAAAGGCTATTGCCTTCTAAGATATTTATCATTTTGGCCTAAGCCCCGGCTCTCTTTATGTATCCAGTGACTCTTGCCCTTAGATTCAAAAGTTAGGATCCTCTCCTAAAGAATTACCAAAGTTAAGCTGGGCATGGTGACGTATGCCTGTGATTCCAGCTACTCAGGAGGTTGAGGCAGGAGGATCACAAGTTGGAGGCCTGCCTGAGCAACTTAGTGAGACCCTGTCTCAAAAAAAAAAAAAAAAAATTACCAAAGCCATAGATCACTACCTTCCTAGTGTATACTGATGCCTCATGTGCCCTTGAGATCAGCTTTTCTTTACCCTTTCCCACCCTCCACGAGTTACCTACCTTTTACTTAGTGTTTCCCAAACCTAACTAACCTCCAGAATAATGTGTACTCTCCCAGTACTGTTCCAGGATGTTCTCAAGATCTGTTAAACATGGAAACCATTGCATGCCACCTCAGTTTGAACAGGCAACAAGTGAGCAAAAGAAGCAGTACTGTCTGATATAGGTAGAAAAGAAAAAGAATGTGTGTTTGTAGTCATATGATTTTTTCCCCTATAAAACACAGCAGTTTATAATCATATGAACACATGAATGGAACTTTATCCTCCATGGCTAACTCTAGTAATCTTAGGCTCTTGATAGTAGAATGCTTAGCCTAAGAGTATCTCTTGGAGAACCAGGCAGTCTGCTCAAACTGTCTTCAGTAAAGGATCATGCAGTATCATCTCTGTCCTGTCCACCCTCAGCCAGGGTAGGGTCAAAAGAAAGCTGTTTCTAGGTACCCTTTCTCTTACACATCCAAGAAGTATTAGAAACCAGTGCAAGGGAAAGGAAAAATGAGCCTTGACCAGGTACTTTAGTGCAACTCAAATCACTCCGAAGACCCCCTACTTCTTCTGCTCTCCCTTCAAACCTCCAAAGGGGAAATCAGGGAGCCACTCAGTTTCTTATATCCCCTATTAACTCCTTCCCAGGGCTAAGGAACCAGGACACCATAGTCCTTCTGGATTATTCTGCAAGTCCTTAAATAGAAGCTATAGCAGCCCAGGGTTGAGGGTGGAGAAAGGTGTGCATGCAAGGATCTTGTGCTTTTGAGTTGGGAGGCTTGAAGTTGAGGGACGGTGAGGTATCTGTGTGTTCAGGTCTGGTCCAGCCACTCTGCCTTCTTGGGGGCCTTGCAAGTATGGACATCCACAGTGTTTCTGCACTCCTTGCATCGCACAGCACAGCACCAGTGGAATTTGCACTCACACTGAGTGACACGGGTGACTCGAGTTGTGTCGTACCCTCGGCCACAGCACATGATTTCACAACCATCTGTTCCTTTAGATGTCTTGCTGCAAACACGACCTGCAGTGCCTAGGGAACCTGGGTTGGGAAAGAGACGGAGTGAAAACCAAGTTATCTCTTACTTCAGCAGCTCTGGACAACCTCATCCACATTCTCAGGAGGAAGCCATAAAGAATCTCTCTTCTGAAAATACATCCTCTAGCCAAAATGATCATTCCCTCATTGCCCTCTAAACCAGAGTTGTTATTTCCTACCATCAAGGCTCCTCAAAGGCTATTGATTTCACCTGCAGTTCTCTCCCTGCCAATAAACAATTTTTATATCCTATTCAAAATATAACTTTAAATGTTCATAATTATTAAAGCGTGGCGAGGTTTTTTATGTTTGAAATTTTCTATAATGAACAGTAAAACAGATGGGTACCATGGCACACTCCTGTAATCCCAGTGGCTTGGGAGGCTGAGGCAGGAGAATAGAGTGTTCAGAGCCAGCCTCAGCAACAGCAAGGTACTAAGCAACTCAGTGAGACCCTGTCTCTAAATAAAAATACAAAAAAGGCTGGGGTTGTTGCTTAGTGGTTGAGTGCCACTGAGTTCAACCCTCAGTTACCCCCCCACCAAAAAAAAAATAAAACAACAGCCAGGCATGGTGGTACATACCTCCCTATTCAACTGAAACAGGAAGATTACAAGTTCAAGGTAAGCCTGGGACTTAGCAAGACCCTGACTCAAAATAAAAAATAAAAAGGTCTGGGGAATGTATCTCAGTGGTAAAGTGGTTTGGGTTTAATCCCCAATACCTCACCTCCCTCCCCCCAAAAATATCAGTAAAACAACAACTACAATAAAAACTTAGCCTATAATTTATCTCTTCTAAGACATCTTACCACAACTGTAATCTTGATACCATTTTTTAGTATTTTGGACCTTGCATTGTACTATACTACTATACTGAGAAGAAGTATAGAGCGTGGCCATTAAAAGTGTGAGCTCAGACTTCAAATTGTCTAGATTCAAATACCAGTTCTGCCACTTCTTAGCTGTGTGACTTATCAAGTTAATTAATGTCTCTGGGCCTTAGTTTTCTCATATGTGAATGGTAATAGTAGTAACATCTAACTTAGGGGATTATTAAATCTATAATCTCTGTTCAGATAAGGAGGTGCACTGATTAGCATGACTGGTTGAAGACTTATCTCTAAGGAGTTCCTAATGAATATTCTTTGTATGACCCCTTATAGCAAGAACATTTTTTTTAAGTTTTTTTTTTTAGTTGTAGGTGGATACAATACCTTTAGTTTATTTTTAATGTGGTGCAGAGGATCGAACCAGGGCCTTGTACGTGCTAGGCGAGCACTCTACTGCTGAGCCACAACCCCAGCCCATAGCAAGAACTTTTTGGAGGGTAAGAATACCCTTTGAATTCTAGGCCCTACTTTGAGTTTTATGAGACCTAATTTTATGTTTTCCCCCTGCATAGGGAATGCTCAGGACTGTATTTTGATCAATTGCAAAAGAGATCCTGTCAACAGAAAAATTAAAGTCAGAATTTTCTATGGGTTGGACCTTATTAATAAGGACCAAGAGATGAGAAGTGACTGGCATGGAAGTTAAAAAAAGAGAATGGATTAACTAATTTAGATAGCAGTAGTATTCACATTCCTCTGGGATAAAGGGAAAACATGCTAGAACTTCTCTATTGGTATTTTATCCATTGGTTTAAAATTTCTATTTTAGGGATATATATTATGCATATTTTATTATATATGAGTATAGTGAAACAATAAGTAAATAGTAAATATGAATATAATGGAGGTACATGCTTTTTTTTCTTTCTTGATACTGGGGATTGAACCTACGGGTGTTTAACCACTGAGCCACATACCCAGCCCTTTTTCAATATTTTTTTCCTAGAAGGTCTCTCTGAGTTGCATAAGTGCCTCACTAAGTTGCTAATGCTGGCTTTGAACTCGTGATCCTCCTGCCTCAGCCTCCCAAGGCACTGGAATTACAGGTGTGTGCCACTGCTCCTGGCTCTTTTTTTCTTCTTAATGATTGGAGTATACCACCCCAAATTTCAGGAAATCACTGCTCTAGAGTTTGGGCTGACTAGGTCATTTATATGTATTATTCTTCCTTCTTTCTTGTCTCTCTTTCTCTCTCCCCCTCTCCCCACCCTTCCTTCCTACCTTTCTACCTATATTATTTTACATATATGTTAGTCTCATAATTCCAATGGCTCCTAGGATGAGCTGTATACCCTTTGTATTCCAGGCCCCACTTTGAGTTTTATGAGACCTAATTTTATGCCACAGAGGGAAACTAACACACATATGACCTATCTTCCCTAATTCCAAAGATCCTTCCCTAAAGATGCATTTTAGGTAAGGCAAAATAAGCTTACATTCAGGAGGTTGAGGCAAAAGGATCCCAAGTTCAGGGACAGCCTGGGCAACTTAGCAAATCTTTTTCTCAAAATTAAAAATAAAAAGGGTTGGATATATAGCTTAGTGATAGAGTGCCCTTAGGTTCAGTCCCCAGTACTGCAAAAAAAAAAAAAAAAAAAAAAAGCTTACACCTCAGATGTTAAGGAATCATTCCCAGGCATCTAGTGATTAACCCTCTGAATTAGACCAACTGGAAAACTCACCTAGTGGAGGGAACTCAGTGTGGCAATCAGCAGGGCTTGCCCAGCCTTTCTTTTAGCACCCTGCAAAGTACACATACTTTCTGTGTTTCTCGGGTAGAGCTTTACCCTGTTTCTGCTCAGTTTTACCCGGCCCCTTGCCTCTCCAGGAAGGACAGTGATGAGTAAAAACAAACAGTACAGAAGACAGCTGAGGTTTTTGGCTCTACCTCACCAAAGTTCTGACTCTTGAGTCTGCAGAAAAAAGCCTGGGAACTCCATGACAGTCACCAGAAGAGAAGCAGTTCTGTTAAACTGCATGTTATTCCCAGTTTAACCCATCTAAACCAGAAACTATAAGCCAGGATGCAGCTTCCACTTTGTTGAAGTACCTTTCCAGCATTCCCAAAAATTCCACCATAATTATCTACAAGAGACTGAAAAACAACAATTTTTTGCCTGGTACCAGCCATTTGTTACTTTTTAGGTAAAGCCTTCAGTGTGGATCTCCTCTTGTTTCCCTGACTCCATTTTAGAATGTTAAATGATAGTACACTAGATGTAGCTTTTCAGTATCATTCATGATCTGGTTCCTGCTTATCTTTCTACCTTTAATTCCCCTTGCCAGAAACATTTACTCAGTAAGATTGATCTGCTCTGTCCCTGAACCAGATCATGGGCTTTCTCTACCACTCTGTTCCTGTGCACAGTATCTATTCTTTTCTTTATTTTTCCCCCCAGTACTGGGAATTTAACCTAAGGGTATTCTACCACTGAGCAACATCCTTAGATCTTTATTCTTTTAATTTTGAGATAGGGTGTGACTCAGTTGTCCAGGCTGGCCTTGAACCTGGGATCATCCTTCCTTGGCCTTCTGAGTTGCCAGGATTATAGGCCTATGCTATTGCACCCAGCATCTGTCTAGTCTTCTCTCTAGCTATCCAGAGAATCCTCACCCTTCAAAGAGCAGCTTAAATTCTATACTTTCAAATAAACTTTTCTTAGTTTCAACTGTCATCTCTCTTTGTAGTTGCATTTGTTTACCCTTTTCTCTCTCTCTCTCTCTCTCTCTCTCTCTCTCTCTCTCTCTCTCTCTCTCTCTCTTTTCGGGGGCAGTGCTGAGGGGATCAAACCCAGGGCCTTGTGCGTTCTATGCTAGGGCAATGCTTACCAATGAGCAACATCTCCAGCCCTAATCTCACTTTTATTTAGCTAAACTGCAAAGAGCCAAAGGCTTGGTATCTTGTGCTTCTGTGTAGCTCACATATTTCTCAGAACTGAAAAAACTTACTTAAACATCTTGTGAGCTTGCCTACTATATCCCAGATGCTGGGAACACAAAGGAGCACTACGTGGCCCCAGGCCTCAAGGAGCTAATGACCACCTCTCAGTGTAGGTAGCATTGGACTGGTGGACCAGTCTCATGACCAGGTTTTCACGTAGGGAGGAGACTGAATCCTCCTATAGCATCTTCTTACCTGATTCCTGGGACTGAACAAACCATGATTAACCAGTGATGCCTGTACCAAGAACTTGGACTCCATGTCTCTGCCCACTTCACTACTCACCTGCAGCTTTGTCCAAGACACAGTAATCTGGGGAGTTGTCAAAGTAGACAAGATCAGTCCGGGTGGCATGGCGATAGCCTTGGCGGGCTGCTGTGAAGTTGGCACCATCCTGGGTGGCCGTCACCTGCACAGCCCCATCATAGCGCCGTCGCAGATAATCACCTGTGCGGCGGAAGTCTGACAGTGCACGCCAGCAGGTGCGCAGAGTACAGGAGCCGCTCACACCGTGGCACTTACACTCTAGCTTCAGAAACCGCCGCACAGCCTGGATGGGGGGAGGAGGCAGGTAAAGGAGAGTCACTGGCCAGGGCACTTTTTAGACATCCCTAGGGCCAAAAGAATGAGTGCTCTATGATCTGCTGGTCCTGGCCACCTGGTCAAGCCCTTAGTGATTCTCTCCCACATCAGATCCCACCCATTCTTCCTGATCCAGTTAAAGAAACTCCTCTTCTAGGAACCTCCCTGGCCAATAGTACTTGTTATGACAGCCTATTGGATTATAGAGCCACAGGTTCTGCTCACGATTACAATGTGCTCACTCGTCCTGTAGTTTTCACATTTTAAAGTATCAAGTACCATACCTTCTGCTTTTGTAGTATGTTGTTTTCCAGCACTTTATGTGTTCACATTACCAGTGAACAGGCTAGAACAACCTCTTATTTCCTCAGTCTTTATGAAGGCAGTTCTCATCATCTTTGAAAAGTTACTTTCCATCTATGTGGAAACCCGGTGGAATCTAGGCATTGCCAAGCTCCTTTGCATTTAGTACTCCCCTGTATGGGATTTTGGGGCTTATGAAGGAAATCCGGAAGCCTTCAGCTCTTCTACCTTCACATTTAGTCTATGGTTACACAAACTGGTCATCCCCAGCAAATATGAATATACACACAGACATGAATACTAACCGTGCGACCACAGCGGTTATTATGTAAGTTCATGAGGGCCCGGGCGTCCTTAAGCCTCTTCTCCTTGGCATCCACAAATGCCTTAGCAAAGCGGACACCATAGTGGATGTTGTCACTGCAGCCACCCCAGTCAAAGTCCCCACGTTGGTCATGGTGTCGACCACGGGTATAGGGATCACAGCTGCACACGCTTAATTCACCCTGGCTACAGGCACGAGTGATAGCGTGGACCACCCCTGCTGATGAGATGGCATATACAAATGCTGCTTCCCGGCTACCTAGAGAAAGATAGAGGCATATCAGGAAAGAGGTCCATATCTGTCCCCTTCTTGAACCTATCCAGTCTCAGATACCTCCCTTCCTCTCCTCTTCTTTCCCAGAGCCACCCACTATATTCCCCTTATTCAAGGTGTCCTTCCCTTCCAAGAGCATTCCTCAGATTATCTGATCTCTTCCCTTAGCCCTCAGTATTCTCTACCCACTTCTTTGTACATCTGACCTGTTGGGCTGACTTTACTCTTGTTTCCTTCCAATTTTCTTGGGTCCTTCCATTGACAAGTCCCATGATGCATCATCCTCACCACTGGTACACTGGTATGGTTAAGCCTGCCTGAGTCCACATTCAAGGCTTTTCAGGCCCACACTGCTGGACAGTTCCCCTACTATCCAGACCCCAGCCCAGGGGTCTGTTTAGGAAGATATGCTACCTTCTCTGCCTGCTCTTGGGGTCTGATGAGTCATCATCCCTATACCCCTGACACCTCCAGATTCCCAACTCGTTCCCTTTCTCCTAGTTTACTGTCTAGCTCTGCTTAGCTTTGTTGCTGAGCTAGGGCCAAGCCACTAACTCTACAAATATTTACATATCACCTTTCTGTTTATCTTTTGTTCCCATTACTGTAGTGTTGGGAGTGTTAGGGTGACTGTATCTCTGGTCTGCATCCTTATAGTGCATGGATGCCCCCTCAGAATGGGGAATGGGGAGGGCAGAGAAAATGAGGGTAAAAGATGAAGATGCTAGGGAAGGCTTTACCTCTATGCCATCATTCCAAACCACTGTGATTTAGAGGGGGCCCTGCCTACAAAATAATAAGGTACTAAGTGTCTGTTCCCAACTATATCCTGTGTTCTAATTATGAAGTAGTGTGGGAAGAGAGTAGGGAGGATCATACCTCCCCCTCCCCACAAGCCCTAGGCATACGAAGGGAAGGAGCTGAAGCAGGATGAAAGAGGCCCCTACTTCTGAGCATGACACGGCCAAAGACAGTGTGGTCCCGGTCCAGCGTGGTGCAGTTCCAGCGGTGATGGCGGAACTGGTGCTGACACTCTCGGATCCATTCTCGGGCACCTTCACCCACTGAGCGCATGATATCTGGGTAACGCTGGCACAGCTGCCGCTGCCGGCTCACCAAACCAGGGATATTGTCACAGATCACTCGGGCCCCTAGTGCCCCAATGTACCTGTAAGGTGGAGATGGCCCTGTCAGAGCATCCGATCTCTTTTCTGCATCAGGAAGGGGATAAAGGGCGGGGGGAATGTTTTATATCTAGATTAGATTCCTTGCCTTTCCCCCAACCCACATTCCCTGAGGCTGATGGGTAGAACCATTCCCCACAAGCTCTGAAGAAATAGTTACACAGTTGCAGAAAGAGTAATTGGTGGTCTCCCACATTACCAGTTCCCCAGCCAAAGGCCAAAGTGACACACACTCCCAGAACATAGGCCAGGCATGTGTCATATACACAGAAGCTGTGGGCATGTCACACAAACCCATTGCCTGTTTATTTAATAAACATTAAAATCCTCACAGAAAAGTAAACTAACAAAACAAGGGTCTGAGACAACACTCTTAAACCCACATGAAGAGGAACGTCCCGAGTGGCTGGTCCTTGAAGACGGGGGGGATGGAAACAGGGAGGGATGGGCAGGAAGAGACATAGTGGACAATTCTGAGTAATGTTTACAGCTTTAGTTAGACTCATGTAGCTAAAAAAAAAAATCCTCATTCCCAATATTTTCAATATTTTAGGGAGAAAGACTCCCCCCACCTCCGAGCCTCTCCCCTTTTATTTTCAGGCTCCAAGGCCTTCCTTAACTAAGGAAGATTTTAAAATCACTTTTCCTAGCCTATAAGATACAATGCCGTGGATAGACCTGCATGAACAGAAAGCTGTTTGCAGTGGGAAGCCAAAAGCCAAGATAAAATACTCCAGTCCCCCGACTGCCCAGTTTGAACAGTTATAAGAAGATAACTGAGATGGGCTCCTAAAGGATAGGTGGGTCACTAGAATCATTCATTCTCCAGTTTCTCAAGGCACTCACTATTTTCTTTCAAATACTCTTGGCCCTGGACACCATCACAAACCTTGGGAAGAGCATTTTGCAGAGAAAATGGGTGTATCACCCTTTCTCCCCAAGAAGCCACCAAGAGTTCAGAGTCATTCACCTATTTCCTTTGGCTCAGCAGCCCAGCTCTGCTTCTCACTCCTATCTTTGCAATCCCATAGTACCTTTGATTTGCAGTCCACTCTCTGTTCTGTGCAAAACACCCCAGAGGGACACTCCCCTCTTCTGAACAGGTGGGGGCCATAGAGAACAGTTGCTGCTGCAGACAGAAAAGCTTTGGTCTGAGCTATGAATGAGCCAGTGGTTTGGGAACTGCCCCAAAATGGGTCTAGAAGTGGGTGAAGTGAAGGGAGGGCAGCCAGTGGGGGAAGGGAAAAACCAAACTGCCCTAGGCCCTGTGTCCCTTCCCCCCATGCATTCCCACAGCCAGCCCTCACCCACAGACTGGATCACCACTGGTGACACCAACTCAAACAAACACAGGAGGGCTGATGCTTGCCTCTTTGGGAACTCAGCAGGGCTGATGGGCCCCATCTGTCCCGAGGGAGGGGTGAGAGGCTGGCCCTCTTCTAACAAATCCCATGGAATCAGTGTCCCCAGCACTGTCCATCAGGGCTGCAGCTTCCAGGAACAAACAAAATAAACACCCCAGGCTGGGCCAGGCCGGAAAGGGCTGCCTGACGCACAGCCCTGAGTTACACCCACTGCTGTGGTGCTTTGTTTGGAGAATCAAGACGTTGGAGTTGGAGCTCTTCCCTGTCTTACCGCCTTTCTGCTTCCCCATAAGAGTACTGCTCTAGGCAATGGGTGTTTTTGGTTTTGGGGGGTTTTGCTTTGTTTTGTTTTTTTCCTGAGAATGCTTGGGAGGAGCGGGGTTGGATGGGAACGTGAGACCAATAATCCAGCACTCATGAGACAGACTGGAGTGGGGCAGGCCAAACTCTGGAGAAAAGGCCTTTCTGTGGTCTGACTTAAGTCCATTCTGCTGCAGCCCACATTGGTCCCTCTTATTACGTCCTCAATGAGCGTGGGAACATCTGTTTAGAATCTAAGATGGCAAGATAATTAGGTTTTTCTACTTACCCCACTAAGTAACTACTTCAAGACCTTGCAGAGCATGGGGCTTGCCTGCTGGCTAGTAGTTGGCCCCAGTTGTCAGTGTGGGGGCTTCCAATAATGCTGAGACTGAACTCAAGTCCATCTCTTTGCAGTTCACCACATGCTTACAAAATGGCTGCCATGTACCCAGCACTGAGTTCATCTGTTAGGGGCACACAGATGTTTAAGGCATCCCCCAGCTTAATGGTTTGGGAGAGGATGTTAGATGCCCCTAAATCTCCAGCTTTGTTTTCCCCTCCCAAAAGTAAATTCTTCACTTTCTTCCCTGCTTCCTATACCAGCATGCTCTCCCTTCACCTGCTTTGGACTAATTCACATTTCCTCTTGACTCACACTCTGCCCCAGACCCTTACTACTACTCAAAGTATAGTCCCTAGAGCACACAAAATATCTGCATCATCTGGGAATTTGTTAGAAACTCAAGCTCTACCCCAGGCTGACTAAATCAGAGTCTGCATTTTCCCACAATCACGCTGCTCCACGAAGGCAAGAATTCTTGTCTCTTGTTTTTATCTTCTCTTGGGACAAGATGATGCTGGCTATTGAACCCAGCACTTCACTCGTGCCAGGCAAGCCCTCTTGCATTGAGCCGTACCCCCAACTCTTTGTTTTGTTCACATTCATATCCTCAGCACTGAGAATAGTCTCCAGCACATAGTAGGTACTCAGTAACTTTGTTGAATAAACAACTAACTTTTCTGATTTATCCCCAACTTCCATATCCTTAGCTAGCCATAAACTTCATTTCAGTTACAGCTTTATTCCTTGTCAACACTGCCAGTCTATTTGCAGATGTTTTATGTTTGTGTCCTTTTAATGAGGCCAAAGATCCTCTTTTTTTTTTTCTCTCCCCCTTTTGTGTAGATCTCTTAATACACATAGTTCAGCCACGCACATATAGGATTTTGAACACAGGAATAAAACTATTAGCCTCTCCAAATCTCTTTTTTTCTTTTCAAGGAGCTGGGGATTTAACCCAGGGCTTTGCACATGCTAGGCAAGTGCTGTACAACTGAGTCACATCCCTAGCCCCCAAATCTGCTCTTAATACCACAGCATTTGTTAGTGCTTTATGGTTTGTGAGACATTTTTTGTACAAAAATCCAGAGAGAGAGAGAGAAAAGTAAGATCCATTTTATAGGTGAAGAAACTGAGGTTCAGGAACAGTAAGTAAAACTATTCCACTCTATCTATCAGGAGTAGTTGGAGAAAACCCAGGATAAACAAAGGCCATCAGGGGGTTGGAGTTGTGGCTCAATGGTAGAGTGCTCACCTAGCAAGTGGGAGGCCCTGGGTTCGATCCTTGGCACCATATAAAAAATAAATAAATAAATAAAGGTATTGTGTCCGACTACAACTAAAACAAAAAAGGCCATCTGACTTGAAAGTCCAAGTTCTCTTTTATTCCAGGGGTAAGAGAGGCACACAACACAGTGCTTTCTTAGGAGTAAAACACTTTGGCTTCAAGATTGGCATAAACTTAAGCAAGTTTCTTTCTTTCTTTTCGTACTGGGTTTTGAACCCAGGGACTTGCACATTCTAGGCAAATGCTATACCTCTGAGCTATGCCACCAGTCCTTTCTTTTTATTTCAAGTCACCCAGGCTGGTCTCAAAACTGGTGAGCCTCCTGCCTCAGCCTCTTGTACAACCATATCTGGCTTGGGCAAGTTTCTTTACTGCTCCTCTCTTTTCCCTCACTTCGTTAATTTGTGAAATAGGGATAGTAGTACCTCTCACTGGATAATTATTCTAGGGATTAAAGATGATGCTTATAAGGTGCTTGGCCATAGTTCCTGGAGTTTAGTAAGGACTCACTAAATTTCAACTGTTGGTCATAACTGTAATGCTAATATAATACCACTCTCTATTTTTCTTTATTTGTGAGCCCAGGAACATAGCCCTACTCTTTTGATCCCCTACATCCAACCCCCTACAACATAGAACAGGGAAGCACATGACAGAAGTCTCCTTTTCTTGTTTGTCATAGACTAAGAAGAAACCATCCATTTTTTCCTCTAATTAAGGGTAGAGGGAAGGAAGGAGTGGTTGGAGAGGAAGGAGAAGAATGTAGGGCTAGAAGGAAAAGCAGACTATCAGCTGGTAACATTGCTGTTAGCCTTTTGCTCCACAGTGGAACAAGGACATACACTGAAGTCAGTATACATCTCTTCTAAGGGTTGTATAAAATATCAAGTTTGTTGGATTTTCTCTTAAGGGAAAAAGAATCACATTGGGGATCTGATCTGCCTTCAGACCTCAACTTTCCACCTTGTCCTAGAGAAGGAAACCACTGAGGCAGGCATCTGGGCCTGCAGCTGTGACAGGTGGGGGTGAAGGAGACTGAAACAACCTCTGCACCCACTCCCTCTGCTAGCCCTTTTGCTTTCTTCCTCCATTTCACAGGGACTGCTAAGTCCCTTTGTGTGTCACCTGCCTCTCCCTTCAGAGCTCTTCCATCTCAAGAATTTTTCCAAAATCTTTAATATGAACCATGTGGGGAAAGGGTAATAGAGGGAGAAAAGAAAAGAAGGGGAGCAGCCAAGGATAAAAAAAATAGACTACAAACAATGCCCCTTGGGTCTTTAGGAAGCGGTAGCAGGATGTGAAATTGTCAGTGATTTCCTCAACTAAACACCAACTGGTCCCCAAGACTGCCTCCCACACTGGCAAGAAACAAGAGTTCATAAAACCAAATTGCAAATTGAGCTGCAAAACCAAATATGCAAATTGAGCTGCATGAAGATGTGCAGTGGTCACTTCATGCTCTCATGCTGTCTCCATAGGGATCCAGAAGATGTAAGTCCAAAGCTAAACTGAACCATGAAGGTAAAGGGTGGCTTTGAATTTCATTCTGAATAATTTAAAGATTTTTTTTCCTGTCTCCCTTTTTCCCTTTCTCTTTCTAAAGGAATGTTTCAAGCCAGATGTAAGATATAGGCCGCCCGCTCTCCCATCCAGAACCCCCCTCCTTGCCTTCCCCAACACATCAGAGATAAAAAAGATCCAAAAGAGAATTTTCTTCTACAGGAAAACAGGGGTGGGGGTGGGGATGGAGAGCAACGCATCTTGAAATGATAGGAATCTGCAGCCCAAGCTGGCCGGCCCCTCAGCCAGCTACCCTCTCCCCTTCCAGCCAAGATTCCAAGTCAAGAGGAGAAAAGCCACAGGGTGCAAGAGGAGAAGAGACCACAGTGTATGTGGGGGTGGGGGTGAGGTGGCCTGTTAGTTGCAAGAGAGGAGGAGCACAGTAAGAAAAGTAAGGGGAGGCACAGCATGGTAGAGGCACTAACCCAGTCCAAGAAGCCAGTTTGATGGGGGGGGGGGGGGGCAGGGGGCAGGGGGCGCGGGTGGCCGGTAGGTGAAGAGGAAAGATGAGAGGATAGAATCTTCTCAGTCCAACTCTTTCCCCTTGCCCTGCCCCTCTCCAAGGTGTGTGGTCGGGGCGGGGGCCTGCAGCTCTTTTTCCTGAGAGAAGGGTATAAGTGCCATCCAGTGCTTGGAAGCATGTGGAGATGGATCAGTTCTGCAAAAACAGACATACAGTGGATTCCCGCCCCCCCCCCAACATACAGGGGATCTCTAACACCAGACCTCACACATGCTAGGCAAGCACCCTCTACCTCTGAACTACATCGTCAGCCCTTTTTATTTTGAGACACTAAAAATTGCTCATGCTAGCCTTGGACCTGTGATTCTCCTGCCTCAGCCTCCTGAGTGGCTGGGATTACAGGCTTGCGCTACCACAATGGCCATCCAATGGATTTTTAATGCCTCTTGCCTCGTCTGACCTCTTGTGAAGGTCTGGAGTCCAGGCCTGCGACAGATCTGAGGAGAGAGGGTATCTCAGTATTTTGGGATTCCAGAAGCCTCTGGGAGATAAGGTCCTCTGGATAGGGGGGAAACCGAGGAAGACAAAGTTCCAAGTGATCTCCTCAAAGCCAAGGTTTAAGACAAATGCCCAGATGATGCAAACCCAAGTGTTTTGTTTGTTTTAATTGTGGGGATTAATGGGGTGGTTTTGCCTCGGTTTCACTTCTAATGCTTGGTACTTAGGCGATCGAGGGCCCTGCGGAACAGCCACCGAAAGGGGGTCTGGTTCATTGAACTCAACGGAAGGCAACTTCTGCCCTACAGGGCTTGAGTTGAATGGAATAGAGGGGTTACAGCCCATGGGGGCCTGGGGAACCTCAACTATGGGGTGTCCAAATGCCCAGCACCCTCCCTCACCAGGGGAGTAGGACAATGCGCCTCATCGCCCCCATACTCCACTCTGGCTACTTCTCGACTTCAGTTGACCTTACTGCAGGGACTCCCTTTAGTTCTGTCAAGCGACCTGGTCCCTTGAGCTGGCTGCGCAGGGAGCTGTATATGCCCTATTGGCGCCTCCAGCCTCTGACCACCCAACCCGAAGAGCCACAACTCACCACCAGGACGTGTCTACACGGGCCGGCAGAGTCAGCAGCAGCAGAAGAAGGCAGGCAAGACCTAAGCGGGCCGAAGCTGGAGAGACGTCGGGGAGGACGGGTCTAGGCACCGGCGCAGGGGCAAGGGCGCGGGCGCGGGCGCGCCGAGGGTCGAGCTGCGCGGCTTCCTCCGCACCACCAGGCTTCAGCATAGCTCCCCGAAGACACCCGCCGCACAGCCCGCAGGGGCGTGGACGGGGCACAGTCTGGGGTTACTCAGGCTGCTCCTACCTCACCCCTCTGGGTGGCCATGGGGTTCGCAGTCGGTTGGGGACCTGCCGTCACGCGGAGTCCGAGAGCCGGGCGTGGGGTCCCGGAAAGATCGTAAGTTGCCGTGTCGGGAAATCCACGACGGGCGCGGAGCCGGAGTCTTGGGGCGCGTTGCCAGAGCACGAGGTGCGGTGTCAGAGGTTCAGAGGCACCGTGTGGAGCTGCGGGGCCGAAAGTGCGGACAGCCCCTCCAGCCCGCGGGCTCTCATTGGACGGCGCGGGGCGGGGCCGAGACCGGGGACACGCGCGGCCTTCAAGGCGACTCCGCCTGCGCCAGACCCGGGCACTCCGCGACACCCTAGGTGTGGCGGCCGCCTCCGCCCCTGGGCTCTCCAGCGCGTCGCAGCGCTGCGCCCCCACCTGCTCGGGCGCCACGCGACCGGGACAGCTGCGCCCTTCAGCGCCCGTAGCGCCCAGTCCCTACTGATGCTGTGCCACCGGGTCCTAGCGCCCTTCGGTCGGCAATTTCTGCGGCTGTAGTTGATGGCAAGGCGTACGCAATGGAAGGGGGTTGCAGACACTTCTCCCTGTTCCCTCACCTACAGCGACAATGGAGCTGAGCACACAAGATGCACTCATTTCGTTGGGTCCTCTCCATCTTGCACTTCTGTGAAATGGGTAGAAACCCTGCCACCGGAGTTGCAGGAGAATCTTAACTCCCTTTTCAACACTGCCTACAGAGGCGCGGTGGGCATCTGGTTTCAGGTAGGGGATTCTCTGATTCCCTACATCTTCCGATCCTCTGCACTGATCTCCCCTTTCACCACAACATTTAGACACGATGCCTACCCACCTGCCCTGCCCGGGTACTTTCTCCAGCCTAGGGACCTGGAATCAATCAATGGCCGACACCAAGAAGGCACACCTGCGGACCCGACGCGGACTCCCAGGCCCTTACGTCCCGTTTTCCGCAGAGCTCAGTCTCTCCCCCAGTGTCTCGGTCCTCCACCCCCTCGGGCGGGGCTGCGAGTAGGAAAGAATCAGAAACAGCTGGGCGGTTTTCCCGCACCGGAGGCCAGGGTGGGGGTCCTGCTGAGAGAATGGAGGCCCTGGACCTTTTCTCCCCTTCGCCTTTCCACCCTTCCTGCGGGCGTGGTAAGTCGGGAAGTTCGGGAGGGTTGTCCGCTGAAAGCGATTCCCCTTTCCTCCTCCCTCTATCCCACCCCCGCACTTCCCAGGCTGGCAGGTAGAGCGCTGCGGGGTAGAGTGGCCCTTGTTGCGGTATAGAAACTATATATATTTTTTTCCTTTTGTGGTACAGGGGATGAAACACAGAGCTCCGAGCATGCTGGAAAGCGCTCTGCCCCTGAGCTACACCCCTCAATCCCCTCCTCTTTTTTTTCTTAAACTTTGAGACAAGGTCTAGCCAAATTGCCCAGGCTGGCAGGGAACTTGGGATCTTCTTGCCTCATCCTCTTCAGTAGCTGGGATGACAGGCATGCGCCACAGACCACCAGTGTATACATTCTTTTTAAAGCTCTAGGCCGTCCAACTTTGAGAGTTCTTCTAGACCTAACCCTTGCTTCAGCCTAAGTTCTCCCGCCTAGCTCCCTCATTCCGAGGTGTCTTTCATGACTCTCCCCAGAGATTTATTTAAATTATAAAGTCCTGGTGTAAACAACACTGGTAACTGTCCAACCCCAAACTCACCGTCTCTCTTCCTTTGTGGGGCGGGGGAGATAAGAGACTCCAGAGTGTTAGGGGACAGGGCACAGCTGGCTGCACTGAAGCTGCAGACATCTGAGTCAGAGCTACTGCAGGAGGGTTCCCAAGGACCTTTGTCTCCTCTCTCCACTCTCACCCACTTTCCCTTACCCCACTTTCTGTGGTAAGGGGCACTTATCAATTCAATAAATAGTTATTTATTCCCTGTCATATGCTAGGACTATGCTAGGCACTTGGTGTGTATCAGTGAGTACAGGAAAACAAAACAATTTCTGTCCTCATGGAGTTTGTATTCTACTGGGGGCTTGGGAGGACAATAAACATCAGAAGTAAAGCTTAGAGAAGCTAGAATGGTAAGTGCAATAGGAAAAAAAAATAGGGCAGGGTCAGGGGATGGGTTGCAGTTGTAACCAGGATGATCATGACTGTGACAGTCAAGCAGAGACCTAAGAAAGTGAGGAAACAAGCCTGGTGGCCTCAAGGAGGGAAAAGCAAGGAGCTACTCTAAGGTGTGTAGGGGACAGCAAGAGTGAGCTAGGGAGGAAGAGTTTGGACAGGTAGTGGAGGGTGGGCTGAGTTAGGGAGGAGAGAAGTGCCTACCACCATTGGTCTGTGCAGGCCTGGGTGGGGGGAGCTAAACTGGAGTTGGAGCCAGTTGGATACAAAGACCAAGCAGGGCCAGCATGCTGGTCATGTCCCATCTGGCCATCCGATTCCCCTTCTCTCTTTCCTTCAGTCTGGTAGGCTCTAGATGACCTGCTGTATCCTTAGAATTGCACAGACTCCAAGAATTTCCCTGAGAGAGGCAGGTGGCAGAGGAGTGAGCTCAGGCTCCTTACTGGATAGGCCCCTTTTCCTTGGACCACTCTTTCACCTCCTCCCAGCCCAACCCCACCCCTTTGCAGGGTAGCAGTCTTCCAGCTCCAGCAGCCTCTCCCAGACTCCCCTGTGTGCTTAGACCTGGGTGTGACCCTGGCCCTGTGTTTATTTCTACATATGGGCCTGGGGTTGTGAGTGAGGAGGAGTTGGAGATGATCACATCTAACCTTGGGTGGACTCACCCACATGGGCCCCAAACTCAATTCTGAGGCCCCTTATTTGGTTTCAGCAGTCTTCACAGTTAAGTGGGACCGTGTCTTGGCACAACATAGATGCTGAATGATTAGTGAATGTTTCTGAGCTGAGGGGCCCCCCAGAAACATCAGCAACTCTGAAATGGAGGGAAGTGAATGAAGGGACAGGCCACCTCTGCCCTAAAGTGGGCAACCCAGAATGGGGCTTTGCTTCTTCTACTCCTCTCCCCCTCCCCCAGCCCCCAGTTCCCCAGGAGGAACCCCAGGCTGCAGGAGCCAGCTGACTGTAAGAACTGCACTCAACCACTTAACTAGAGAACAACTATGGAGCCAGAGAAGAGGTTTTCTGGGATCTGCCACTTTGGAGCTTCGAATCTCAAAATAAACTTTCAGTCTCAAGGTCCTAGATACTATTGGAGAGCTCAGCTCCTCACGCAAGGGCCAGTTTGGGGGCTTCCAGGCAGAAGGTCAAGGCCAGAGGCTCAGGCTAGCTCCCGACCTGTTTCTCTGGCTTATCCCCAAACCCACTGGAGTCAGGGGGAAGAGTTTCTGGTTTGAGACTCAAGTACTGGTTTCCACGGCCCTGCATGGAGTCAAGTCAGCACTTATTAAGCACCTACTGTATGCCCACCACTGGCCAGGGCATCCTAAATGACATGGAAGGAGAAAAAGTTCTTACTCCCAAGGCATTTTCAGGCAAATGTAATAAAGCCAGCTGAGGGTGGCACTCTAGGCTCTGCTGGGGTTCAAGGCTAAATACTGCAGACATGTTGTGCAGTAGCATCAGTAGAGACCTGGGCAAGAATCCCAGGCCACCCCCCAACCCACTCCCCCTCGGGCTGCCAGATTCTTTGGAGCCTCCAGCAGACAGCTTCCACCTAACCATCAGAGCTGGTTTTCCTTATGGTGCCACTACAGCCCCCTGCCCTTTGCATACATAAGTGGGTGCCGAAAGGGGAAAGGTTCCCTCTCACCCTTGATGTTTCATCTCACGCTCTGCTCCCCAGTGAGGCCACTTAGGGTTAAGATCCATTTTTCACCCTATTCTCAGCTGTATATAGCTGAATGACTTTGAATTCTTACTGGCCCTTGGATGGGAGTGGAGATGAGCTAAGGGGAGCTGGGTGTGGGTAAACAGCTCTTACTCCACCCTGGCCTATCCTCCAGAAGGCCCCCCTTTCCTGGGCCCCTTTGGCGATGACCTTCTCTTTCCCGGTGGGTGGGAGATGGTGTGGATGGTAATGAGCAGAGAGAAAGGCCAAGAAGGGGCTGGGGGGAGGTTTGGATGGGAGTCAAGGAATTCCTGAGCCTGCTACTTGCACAAGCCCCCCACCCCCCCACCCCAGACGCCTTTCCTGAGATTTCTTTGCAAACCAAGGCAGGTCTCATTTGAATTGGGGCCAGGTTCACACAGGCCCCTAGTGCTCCACCTCCTGCCCCTCGGCACCATGCAGAGAAAAGAGAGCTTGGGAAGAACCCGGGGCTTTTAAGGGGGGTAATGTGGGGATCCATGCTTTCTACACAGCCTGGCTGGCCTCTTCTTGGTATTTATGAGCTCCCAGGCGAGACATGGAACGTGTCTCAAAGAGGCCAGGCCAAACAGGCTTCGGAGGGAAGGAGCATCCAGCCCCTAATCAAGGGAAGGGCTTGGTGGGGCAGTGTCCTCTGCATCCAGCTAGTGGCTAAACAGGGAGGGCAAACTACTCTCTAGGACACAAGGAAAAGAGGGATTCAGGAACTAGGGGAAAGAGGAGATTTGGGGAGGCAGGATCACCAGGGCAAGGCATAAAGGGGGGGTCTGGAGCCTTTTAGCACTTTGGCTGTAATCAGTCTGGAGCCAGGCGGTGGGCGGGCTGACGGCCATCCTGGGCGGGTGGCCCAGGTTCTGTGTGAGGCCAGTGGGTGTGCTGCTGGGATCTTGGGTGGTCACTGACCGACCTCTTCCCAAGGGAGTGTTCCCATTTTGTCCCCAGACCCTTTTTCCAGTCTGCCTGTAGAAAATAAACTAAGCATTGAGCTTTTTTTCTCTCCCCACTACCTGTTCTGGGCCCCCAAATGATCTGGAAGAGTAATTTATTTCCAGTAAACAAATATCTGCAGATCCCACTATCTGCGTTATTCTTCTCTGCCCTCCTCAGCCCACTCTGCCCCTGTTCTCATGCTCCCCCTGTCTTTCATCTCGGGTTCCATCTCTCTCTGGATCTCTCAAAGGCTTGTGTACTCCACGTGTATTCCTCTCTGTCTCTTTGGGTTTGTCTTCCTGTGTTTCTATGTCTGCCTGCCTTTCAACCCTGTCTGAATGTCTGTCTGCCCCTCTTTCTAAACTCTGTCTCTTGTCTGTCTCTACAGGCTGTCTCTCAGCACGTGTCTCTCTTTCCCTCTTTGTCTGAATCTGTACAACTGTTGGTCTTGCTCTTCTTTCTCTCCCTATCTCTGTCTTTTTTTTTTGCCTCTTTGTGGCTTTCTCAGTCTGTGTGTGCATGTGTGCCTGCCTGCCTGCCTGTCTTTTCCTTTGTGTGTGGCTTTCCCCTTCTCTCTCTCCTGCTCTGTTTTACACTTTCCCTGTGCATCTCCTGCAACACAATGCAAAGTACACCTGACAAGGAAAAAAAATCAGAAAATCTTTCCCCTTTTAACTCATCCAGGCACTATTTGCATGACTCTAAGTCACTTTACCACTTCAGGCCCCAGCTTTCCCACTAGTAGAATAAGTAGGGTGAAGATCTAGTTCTCTCTGGGAGTTTCTATCTTTATCTCTCCTTTCTTGTGGTACAAGCCACCCTGGGTTCCTATAAGGCCCTGCTTCTCTGATTCCTAAAGTAGACCCTGAAGTCAAAACTCTAGCATCCTAGTGGAAAGGGGTCTCTGATATTGTTAGCTAGCAGGCCCTGAAAGGAGGACGCATCACTCCTCCACTGCCTTAAACATCAGGGTAGACAAGGTTCCTTTCTGGGGCCAGGTCTGGGATACAAACCAGATTAGCTCATCTCTCTAATCCTCTTTGTGCTGGGGCCTCTGCCAGGCAGGGACACCCACAGCGCAGAGCGAGGGTGTGTGTGTGAGTGTGTGTGCAGATTCTTGGAGAAGGCTGGACACTCAAGGTTCTCCTCCCCCTGCTACCCTGTCCTGCCTTAAAAACCCAAATCAGCAGCTCTCACTGTATGAGAAATGTTATCAGGCTTCAGCCAAGTCAGGTTTTCCATAATCTGGCCATCCCACAACTCTTCCCTGATCTCTCTTTCTCTATAGCCTCTCTAGGACTGGACTAGCATTCCAGCCATCCCCCAGTTCTGGAACAGCTCGACCTACCCCACCTCCACACTTATCACACTGCCGTGTGTGTGTGTGTGTGTGTGTGTGTGTGTGTGTGTGTGTGTGTTTTCTGCAGTCATCAGACTTTCCTTCCCTTCTCAAAAAGCCCAGAGCGACAGGCAGCACTTGGGACGTGGGGGAGGGACAGGACCGGAAGCAGGCTGTCCCTAGTCTTCACACTCCAAATTGGAGGAATCAGGCCCTTCTCTGAAGTTTCATTTGGAGAGATCTCTTTTGGCTGATAAGATCAAAGCATTCCCTTTGCCAAATCATTACCTTATTGTCGAGGCAATTACAGAACTTATTGTATCAATTAGCCAGGTCTCCAGCTGCAGCCGATTATCGCTGACAGTTGTGCGTGCGCTTGCAAAGGAAAGGGTCTGCCGGGCCCAGCCAACCCGGAGAGGGGAGGGCTGGGTGCAGGGCCGGGCTCTGGCAAGGCCCAAATCTGGCCTCGCCGCAGGAGCTGTCCGGCTGCTGTCAGCGGGGATGGGCCCCAGGAGTTCAGCCGAGGCGCGAGGCTGAACCGAGAAGAACCCGCTGGTCCCTCCACGACGCTGCGCCGAGATCGCTCTTTCCTGGGACTCCACACCTGCTCGCCAATGGCCCAGGGGATCAAACCAACGCAACTGGGAGAGGTAGAGATTGCTCAGACCAAGGCAAGGCCCCCCGCCCAAGCCCGGAAAATGCTGTGCGAGCCAAGAGGCCGGCCCCTTCCCGACTCTGTGAGTGATTCACTCCGTGGGCCCGGCGCCCCGCCGCGGCGTTCGCAGGAAAGACAAGACAGGGTAAGCTTAGTCTTCTTGGGGACTCCTGCGTTTCAGACCCAGAGAAAACTTTAGTAGGAGTCAGCATGACGAGAAGAACCACGCCGTAGGGTCAGGTGGGACGCGGGAGTCCCCTAGAGCAGTGGTTCTCAAACCTGGTCTCAGAAGCTCTTTATACATATTATTCAAGTCCCCCCAAAAGCTTTTGTTTGTATGGGCTATATCTATTTACCAATATTAAAAATTAACATGAACACAGAACCCACCAAAGAGCTCCCAACGACCAAAGATAGGCTATCTGAGCAACAAAATAAAATAGTTTTGGATTGTAATCCAAAGTATAAAATAAATATCCATGAATCTATTAATAAAGAAATGGGGGGGGGGAGAGAGAGAGAGAGAGAAGAGAGAGATCCATCCTATGTAGAAGATTTCCTAATAATTTATGTAGACACTCTGCCCTCAAAGAGCTGGAATAAATCTCCCCACTCAAGTTTAGCCAGTGACTTCCAAACAGTATAGCACAAGAAGGAAGCTTAGAGGATAAGAGCCAATCTACAGTGGAGAAACAGATACCTCAATCAGGTGATCAAGGTCAACATCATCAGTCAGGGTGATAGCATGCACCCTTGGTACAATGTGATGACAATGACACTTTATTATCTTGTTGCTGTGTAGAAAGAGGAACTATCACTTGTTGCTGGTGGGAAT